GAATGATGCTTCTCTTTATGTCTACTATTCGTTCAACGATCTTTTCCTCCTTGATAATGGTCCTAATGGCATAAATGCAACTACTTCAGGCAGTCTATCTAGTACAACAGGTCGCGTCAACAGGGCAATCCAATTTAATTCAGGATCTTACATATATTATACATATGCTCCATTTCATTTTTTGGGCATTAGTAATCATGCTTTCAGTATATCTTTGTGGGTACAACCGATAGGAAGTTATGCACTATCTACATTAGTTTTTGTGCAACAATTGTCTGGCTGGTGTGTTCACTTTTTAGTGATGGATTCTACTGGATATCTTAGTGCGCATCTGTGGAATGGAGGCGATGTAACCAGCAATGGTCCCATACTTCCGTTAAATAGCTGGACACATATTGGATATACATATAGCTCGAGTAATGGTATTCAATTATATGTAAATGGCGCTCTGTATTCAACGACAAGTAGTTTTTCATTTTCTGCCTCTGGTGTTCCTATGTATATGATATTGGGCAGTGATGGTGGTCGAACTGGCTGTTCTCCAGGTTTTGGCGGTTCGTTTACTGGTGCTTTCGATGAATTTTATGTACATAGTTGTGAATTAACGGCATCACAAGTTAATTCATTAGCAAATCCTTAATCTATGTACGATGTGACCTGATTTTCTTATTGACTTGTTTATGATGATTCTGTTGCTGCACAAGCAAAATACTATCTCACTTCGGTATTCGACTATTTGCCAGTAATCTCTAGAACATGACTTAATATATTGCCCATGATAGACTCATTAGAGCCTCGATAGACGCGCTATACTTGCACCATGGCGATATAGAATATAAATTTCTCACCATTATAAACTAAAAAGATAAAATATTAGAACTCTCATAACATGTTGTAGCTTTATTTGAGAATTTTTCAGGATTGAATCGGACGTTGTGCTTAATTCTAAGAACCATGGTGAAATGAAAAACATTGCCAGTTGTTTGTGAATTTTTATTTAAAATAAGCTGCTCGTTTAGACTTGATGCCACTCAAATGTTCAACAGATAGAAGATTACGGCACCATCAGAAAGGGAGAAAGCACAGAAATGAGAAAAAGAATGAGGACTATAAGAGTCTATGAACCGTCACTCAGAGGTGGACATATTCTAAAGGAATATTTCCGTTTACGTTTTGAAGGTGGAAAAGAAATTTGAGCAACACATTTGAATTCAGACAGGATTATTTTCAAAATAACATTTTTTGCACGTATGCATAAGTCCTCAACGTGGTCTGCTCTCACATTTTTGATAGAGCACACATATCTTAGACTTTGTTTCATTGGAGAAGCTTTGTATGAATGTGTGAGTGTGTGGAAGAGAACACTTGTCATCAGCTGTATCTACATCCATACCCATACCAAGTACTTGCAGAGCCAATCATATTGCAAAAATTTTGCAAGATCAGGTTTGTTTTTCGTTGCTTCAGTAATCGGCGCACTATTAACAAAGATTAAGCTTAGTAAATGAGACTTTGGTAAGAATAGCATTTTATGCCGTTGTGTAGAACTCGATGAAACTTATTGATTTACATATATACCAGGTCAAAAACGTTGTTAAGAGCTTCACATGAATACAGAAAAGTTTCGAATAGCATGCAGCTAAAGAAAACAAATAAATTTCATCAGGGCTCTATTAATTAGGTCCTAGAATGGCGGATTAGAAATCGGCATATAGGTGCACCTAAGTATATACATGCGATAAGAAAAATACTAGATCAATGCAAGAGATGATTTGACATGTAATCGTGACTGGTTTTACAAAAGCAATTTTTGCATAATAGAAAGCTTAATTAATTTTTTTAGCAAGAAAAATCGATTTTGAATATGTTACACTCGTCTAACGAAGTTCAGTTTGTGCGCCCAATGTTACTGATGATTTTTCTACAGAATATAATCAAATTTTTCGACTATTACACTGTTGTAAATATATTCAGTTTTGTTCTTTCATACTGCTCTTAAAACTTTATTTTCAATGTACAATGATGTTTGGGTACAATTTAATTGAAAATTCTTTTTTTCATATATTGACACATATCAAATTCTGAATTACTGTTTATGATCTGTGGTAACAAATAGTAGTATATTGACTTTAACGATTTTGTTTAACTATTATCGTAAGAAAACGATTTTAGGCGACATTTGCAACCAGTCAATGTATCAATGAAAGTTTCGAGAGAACAAAAATAAAATGGCCATTGGCCAATAGACACGAAACGAAAAACTTCATTCTTGTCAATTCTCTGTAGAAAAATTCTCTTTCAGAATGAAAAAGAACGAAGTTTTTACGAGGTATCCATTTGAAGATCTAAAGTATAATGAACATTGATTCATCTTGTAAAAAATTATCTTTTGAATTTTGACAATTTTATTTAACTATTTAAACTATATGATTAAGTTATAGAACAATAGAAGGAAGCAATCCAACTGATTGGTTTTTATGAATGAAAAGGATATGTAACTCTAAAATCTTGAGTTGATTAAGGCCTTCTGCTTAGTTTTGATTTCAAACTCAATAATTGAAAAATAATGTTGGATGTATTGATCGATTTTGTATAGCAAATCATGAAGGAAAAGTTTCACAAATTTTGAAAAATAGACATTTTAAAAAATTGTGTTTTTCTTTTTTCAATCAAATATAGAAAGAAATTTAGATCGACTTGATGAAAAATGAATAAAGAAAAACATTTCAATTGATTACCTACAGAACAGGATTATGGTGCGAAGCATCATATAGCCGTCATTGGCGATTTTTTCTCCTCAAAAGATCTCATTCAAAGTTCACAGTTTGCAACGCAATGACTTCAAGAACTCAAGAGTATGCGAAGCTCGTTCAAACACTTTCAACCAACAAGAACTCTCAAAAATGATGAATATATTTTTCTAGGTTTTTGATGTGTTACATTGTTCACTCAAAGTAAAATCCATACAAGAAGAATAATATGTAGATTTTTTTATTCGTGCCCGAGATGATGAAATGCGACTAGAGCTTATCTCAACAGATAAAGCTAGTAGCAGTGAATTTTATCTAAACTGAAAGTTGCTACCATCTTTTGTCATCGAAATTCATTTAGTCAAGATTCTTTAGGGAAATGGAGATCGTTTTTTTTTCTGGATTTTCTTGTAAACGGAGTTACCAATAGCTTGAGAAATACATCAAGATGCTAAGAAAAACGTTACTTTCTATCTTACTGATATAGTGCTACTTTGTCTGATTCTACTATTTAAAGGCTCCTGATAGCGTAAATGAAAAATGGGTAGGATAACATTGAATTTTATGAGAGGATCGACTTTGCTTCAAAATACCCTTTACTTCCCCTTCTTAAGAGAAAGGTTACTGAAAAAAATATAAGAACGAAATTAAAAAAAGAACAAAATGTAACATTTCGATACGAACTTCAAGAAATGTTTCCATGGGAAAAGAATAAGAACTTCATTAAATCAATTTGGATTTTCTTTCTCATCAATAAAAAATTTTGATCATACATGTTCTTTCTACGAATTAGCTATCGGAATGCTTGAAATGTGTTTTATCAGAAATCGCACAATATCATGATCTCATTTTTTTAGATACAACTTTATTACAATCCGAAAAAGAATATAAAAATCTCGATCAAGTCGACATTATTTAGCAAGATGATATTTTGAATATTATTTGTCTAGGTTGTTTACTGCAAAACTGGTGACAACTAAATGAAATCTGTAAACAAAAACGAAATTATATTTTTATCTTTTTATTTCTCTTGTGTATAATTTCTTTTGAATGTTAAATTATTAAATGACAGCATATGGGTAGTGGTAGATATCTAATAGATGTATGACGTTGAACAGAAGTATTTGCGTTTTGTACATTAATGACATGGCTACCAGACATAATACAGTATGTTACAAAAGTTGGATTGAAAAAAGAAACGAAAATGTTTTTTTTCACCATTCAAGCGATTTTGGTGAGGTTTTTATAGTTTCGTTACGTATTCATTGAAGTTTTATGTCACATCAATTTGTCTATAAAAGATCACTTATAAATGAAATACATAAACCTATCATTTTTGAAAACATCTGTAGAAATATTATATGAACGTTTTGTTTGAAATCGTTTGGCCTTCTTGTTGAATCTCATTTTCCGTTCAACTAGATTTGTAATAGATGTCATGGATGCATGTAACTATTGAAATTATTATTATCAATTGAGAAAAAAACTTTACTATATTTTTAAGCCTTTTTTTGTTCTCAAAAAATAAGAAGACTTTACCAAATGAACTTTATTTTACTTCTCAAAAATGTAATTCTTCCGCATTTTAACCAGGAAGTCTGTTAATATTTGAAGAATATTTCCTCAAGAAAAGGCAATAGACGAGACAGTTCATTTTCATGAACATTTTGGTCAACTGAGCTGACACTGTTCCACGTACTTTATAAGACATCTGTCAAAGATCTAGGCCAGTTGAAAATAAAAATGCATAAGAAGATCAAAAACATTTCAAACGAAATTTTCTATTAATGTTTCTACAGATATTTTCAAAAATATATATTGTTGTATTCCATTTATAAGTAATCTATTAGAGATAAATTTATATGAAATAAAACTTTGATGACTATGAAATGAAAATCATAAAAATCTCATGCCAGTCGTTTGAATGATTAAACAGATATTTTCGTTTCTTATTTTCGATCGAACTTTTGGAACACAGTGTGCTTATAATATAAGCAGACGATTAACTCTCTGTTTTTCTTTGTAAAATCTCAAATCAATTGTGTAATACATGAAGAAGAACTGGACAGTCAATTATCGGACAATAAAATGATTAAAAAAATTCGTCATGCCATGATTCGATAAGATTCAATGTAATTTTGCATTTGATATTACCTTTTATTTCACAATTAGTAAAGCTCAGAACCAGAAACCGCATAGAACTGGAATTGTAGAGCTTCAGACTTTCATCCGATCCTTACTATTCATACTTTAGTTACATATTGCTTATTCTAAGTTATATATGTGTGGACAATCACCTTGCATGTAAATAGTATCATCTTAGGCTTTTCGATTAACTCGTCTTAGTAATAATATTACTTTCGAGAGGACCGTAACGACATTTATTCAGGGCTTTCCTTGCTCTATTACAGTAATAAATTCAATTCAGCTATTTCGTCTTATATCTTATTCTTATTTTAATATAACTATGCGAAACTTTGTAAGTGTTATAATGTAATAATTGCTCTCAAAACTGTTGAAACAAGATTACAAGTTATTGATTGTAAAGTTGTATCAATTTCTTAAACATGTATTCGATTATTACTTAGGTTTATTTCAGAATTAATGAAATCTATGGACTATTTATTTTAACATTGATTTTAGGCAATGTTGATCATCATATTTATTATATACATGTATTGCATGGTATGAACATCTATTCAATCGTATAATACTAATTTTTTTTTAATCACATAATGCGTCACATGTAGAATAAATTGAACAGAAGGACTTTGTTAAGACTTTGATATAAGGAATAAAATATTAATGAAATATCCTGTTAGTTAATTGCTGTTTTTATTTTAAAAATAGCTGACTAGCATAGATAGACTAAATCGACAAAGTTCGTATG